AAGGACTTGTTTTTCTAATGCTCTGTAGCAGAGGCAGCCAGACAGAGTGAGCCCTGAACCAAACACCTGTATTCCAACATTTTACACAGCAGTCTGGGCACCCTGTGCCCAGGAGAGCTGGCCACATGTCTGCTCAAGTCTGACCTGGGCCAGGGTTACTCTTGGGAAAACCAGAATGCCATTAAGTCAGGCACGAAGAGGCAGTCGCTAATGTAGCAAGGCAGCCACCAGGTTGCTCAGAGGGGGTTCTACATTAAACCAACATATTTTGTTGTTGCTTCCAGGGCAGCAGAAGAAGCCTTTGTAAACGACATTGATGAGTCGTCCCCAGGCACTGAGTGGGAACGAGTGGCCCGGCTGTGTGACTTTAACCCCAAGTCCAGCAAGCAGGCCAAAGATGTCTCCCGCATGCGCTCAGTCCTCATCTCCCTCAAGCAGGCCCCCCTGGTGCACTGAAGAACCACCCTGTGGAAACACTACGTCTGCGATATCTTAATCCTACTCAGTGAAGCTGTTCAGAGTAATTGGATTAATTATGTTGAGTTCTTTTGGACCAAACCTTTTGTCTTTAGAGTTGATCATTGTTTGTGATTGCATGTTTCCTTCAACTGTGTTCTCCCTGGCATTCAGAGAGGAGGGGGAGGAGGAAGAGAAGGGGAGGGAAGCCTCCCAGCAGTAGCCTCAACCTGTGCTTTTGTGCATTACTCTAAGAATAAATTTCTGTTTCAAACAACGTAGATGAAGCTTCTTTACTAAACTCAAGATGTGCTGCAGTTCAAAGTGAGTTAGGGAAGTATATTTCAACAGGGGTCAGTCTGGGGTATACAGAGTGAAGTAAGACCCTGACTCCTTTGGATTCGGCCAAGAAACCAGAGTTGGGACGGCGCTGTGCACGGCTAGCCTTGTTACTCCTGATTCCGTGGCGCGTCAGAGTCTGTACCACCCCAAGCACTGGTTCATATTTCTATTATAAAATCCTTCCTCTAGACCTGTGCTGTCCAATACAGTATTCACCAGGCACATGTGACTATTTAATTAAAAATACATTTCTAGTCCTAGTCATATTTCACACGTGGTTAGGTGGCGTCTGAATTGGACAGTGCAGATTATAGAAGATTTCCATCACAGAAAGCTCTACTGGACCATGCTGATCTACACAACAGGTGCTTCCAGGAGACTGCTCTGTTCAGACACCAAGACATTTGTTACCTGCTCTCAGAACTTGGCATAGTACCTGGCACATTTTAGTTGATGTTCCAAGCAATTAATAAACCCGTATTTCAGTAATTGTCTGCTTATAATCATCTGATATTTCCAAGTGGAGGTTGTGGTAAACTCCTATAATACCCTGCTCAGGATGGGTGTTAAGCCTTGCTGTTGCCAAGAAGGAAAGTCCTTCCATCTGTAAATATCTACAGAAAAAGAAAAAAAAACACAAAAGTCCACCATCTCCCCCATGCTGATTATGTTTGGATGGGAGAGGAACTGTCATTACTTTATCTCCCACATCCCTTTTTCCATGCTTGTTAGTTGGGCTTTCTTTGATCTGGCCCACATTTCTGGCCTCTGCTCATTCCTCCCCTATAGCCACCTCTGATCAAGCGCTCACTCACTGTTGTTCACAGACCTTTTGTTGTAACTGGGAGTTGCTAATGCCACTCAAAATGGCAAAATCAAATTTAAGAACTACATGGTCAGGCATAGTGGCTCACACCTATAATCAATCCTAGCATTTTGGGAGGTCAAGGGTAGAGGATTGCTTGAGGCTAGGAGTTCCAGACCAGCCTGAGCAAGAGCAAGACCCTTCTCTACCAAAAACAGAAAAATTAGGTGAACATGGTAGTGCATGCCTGTAGTCTCAGTTGTTCAGGAGGCTGAGGAGGATTGCTGGAGCCCAGGAGTCAGGAGGTTGCAGTGAGGTATGATGATGCCACTATACTCTAGCCTGGGCAACAAAGCAAGACCCCATCTCAATAAAAAACTAGTTCAAAGGCCATCTCCACAATGCCTCCCCTTACTCCCCTGAACTATGGCTTCTACTTGGGACAGCTTACTTTTTGGTATTATCTTGGTGCCATCATCTGGACCAGTATCTGGTCTCATGCTAGATGGGCTTCTTGAGGGCAGTTTTAAAATGTCAACAAAATCTTTGACTTTCTCCAGATCAAGAAGTGACTAAATAATATGACAAAATTGATACTGTGTCACTTCCAAGGCTAGGTCATTAAAGGCAATGTAGTTTATGGCTGGTTTGTTGGACCAGACAAACTAGCTGGTAGCCGAGCCACCCAATAAAGCTCTACCAGCCTGAAGCCACCGTGCTTGAGGAGGCTTAAACTAGTTCACATTGAGAAACCTTGTAAATACATGAAGAGAGGCCTGGCTGGCCAGCCTGCTGTTCCAGCTTCAGCCACTGTCTTAACTACAAGTGCACAACACTCTGGGCTAGAACTGCCTTTCCCAATTCCTGATCCACAGAAGCTGGGAGAGGTAAAACAATTACTGTTGTTTTAAGATCTCTTAAATTTTGAGGTGGTTTGTTACACAGCAATGGTAACTTGGGATTATTTCTGAAGGAGGTAGTCCAGGGATTCAGTGGGTGCTCAACGTTTACTTTAAAACTTCTTTCTTGGGGCCACTTTGCTTTTTATGTCAAATTTTAAATGTAATTAACAGTGCTTTCTATTAATAAGCTTTTTTGGGGGGTAAGAAAGTAATGATAATAGATGCCTTGAGGAAGTTGCATAACCTTCAAAACGTAAGCAATGGAACAACTTTAAATCTCTTCTGGGAAGGGAAATGCTTTTAGCTAGTGAGTTAAGAACAAAATACAACAGTGTTAGGATTTCAACAAGGAAATGTATTTATTTTTCTTTATAATTTGGCTCAGAATAATAACAAAAATATTTACATTCAAATAAATTAACATGATTATTTAGCCATATGTAATAATTTATGTTGGAATATATTAGCCTTTCCATGAACTTAATAAAAACAAAGATTTGGTTTTAGATTCAGTACCATACTTTCAAATATTTGGTATGAAACTTGGTAGCTATGCAATTGTTTGGTACACAGAGCGGTTAAGTAGATTTCACCAAGAAACAACTGATGCCCCTTCACAGTCCCATCTCGCCCCAGACACGGAGGTGGAGCAGCTGAGCTTCCTTCCCAGGAGTCACCATGGAATGTGTGAACAATAACCACGTCCTAGAGATTATTTAAGGGCTGGCAGAGTTCGAGGAATCTGCCAGCCTTTTTCACATTAACCCACCAGGAAGGAAGTAGTTCAAATGCAATATTGATTCCTTCAGCTTATTTTATATGTTAACACTGAAACAATACGTTATAGAAACCTTCATTTTCCCAAAACAAAAAACAATCTGAAAAATATATGCATATGCTTTTTTAGATCTTAAAGTACCCATAAAAACCTGTCACTAGATTAAATACTGCAAAATTTCCATAGCAGAGAGGAATATTTGATTAAATTCACAGTTGAGAGATAGGGTCAAGAACACAAGGAGTCATTTTTAAATCAGATATTAAAGCTTTGGGTGGCCTAGAGTAAATTAGAATATCTTAGCATTTTGAAAGAGTTTTTGTTGTTGTTTTTAAGACAGAGTCTTGCTCTGTCGCCCCCAGTAGAGTGGTAGAGTGCAGTGGCATCACTGTAGTTCACTACAACCTCAGACTCCTGGGCTCAAGCGATCCTCTTGTCTCAGCCTCCCAAGTAGCAGGGACTACAGGCATGCACCACCACACCCAGCTAGTTTTTCTATGTTTTGTAGAGAGAGGGTTTCACTGTTGCTCAGGCTGGTCTCAAACTGCTGAGTTCAAGCAATCCTCCCTCCTTGGCCTCCCAGAGTGCTAGGATTACAGGTGTGAGCCACAACGCCCAGGCTTGAAAATGTTTTTGAAATGAGAGGTGATATTATGTCTTGGCAGAAAAAGCATGGGAGAACCTGGGATCAAAGCCTCTCTCTTAAGACTCACTAGTCCCATAGCTTTAAATATGTCACTTAAACATACGAAATCCTATAAAATAGGAATTAAAACACCTACCTCACAAGTTGAGAGAATTTAGGACAATGTATATGAAGCACCTAGTTCAGAGCCTGGCACACTGTAGGCACTTAATAAACAGTGGCAGTTAGTATTTCTTCCAGATTGTAAATAATAGCCAGAACTTTGGCTTTTGTATTTTGACACTACTGAAAGCACAGATTATTTAGCCAGAATCCAGATGCACAGATCTGGGCTCTAGTTATAACACATACAAACACTGCCTTAAACACTGTCATATTCAACGTAATAGGAAAAGCTATCGAAGGGAGAGGTGTCTGCTGATCAGTAGCAAAGATCCTTTTGGGACAGTTAATCTCCTTTCAGAGGCTGCAAGTCCTAGTGGCTTCTGAGCTATCCCTAAGAAGATAAGGACAAGGTCACTAAGGCCATTGTAATTCAGATCCCTGGTCTACAGTCTAAGTTCTGCTAGAATAAAAACATCTAACAAATGACATTTAGGGGCTACAGGTATGTCCAATGTCTTGATTGTAGTGATGGTTTCTCTGGTATATACATGTGTCAAAGCTTATCAAACTGTATACTTTTAAAAATACCCCAATAAAGCTTGTCAAAATAAAAGTGTACTTAAGCCTTTCCTGGTAAGATTTCCTTCTGTTCCCTTAACTGGATTTCTGTGATAGGAGTTTGGGGTTAGAGGACGAAGGACTATTAATCCAAACTCCAGGATGAAGCTCACATCCCAAGCAAGGCCTGTAGGCTTTAGTAAGCAGAGTCCTAAGGCTTCCTCATTTATTATTGTAGCTCCTTTTGGCACAGAAAATTGTAACTGGAACTTACAGAATCTGAGCTAAAATGACTCCTATTAGGAAAACATCAGAAAGAGTAGCATCTACAAAAATAGGGGTAAGGAAAGGTGACTTCAGAAGAGGACACAAAAAATGAAAACACTTCTCTGCCAAAGTCGCCTATAGTTAAATTACCAAATTTGGTTTTTAAGAAGTGCACATCTAAAAGACAAGAACTTGATTCCATTAGGAAGCACTTGAGTCTCGGTCTCTGTTTTCGTTCCTGGAGGCCTAGTAGATCCTGCGAGTTGTGTAGTCCAGAACCATGCTGGCAGCACCTAGCAGGGCGGGGTCAACCAAATCCGAAACCACCACGTCCACGTCCTGCACCGAGGACAAGGCCTGCTGGCGGATCACATCTTTGACAATGTGGATATAGTGACTGGCCAGAACTCCAGAGAGGATCACAAGGGAAGGATTCATAGTGTGGAGGATGTTCACAACCCCAAGACCCAAAGCTGTTCCAGCTGTAAGAAAACAAAAATTAAAGTAAGTTTCCAGAGTGCTAAATCAAAAACACCAAAGAGGAAGGCAGAAGAGAGCCAGAGGCCAGAAATGGTAAAGTATATTGATACCATTCAGTGGGAAGCAGTATTTTATTTTATTTTATTTTATTATTTTATTTTATTTTTGAGACAGAGTATTGCTTTGTTGCCCAGGCTAGATAGAGTGAGTGCCATGGCATCAGCCTAACTCACAGCAACCTCAAACTCCTGGGCTCAAGCAATCTTACTGCCTCAGCCTCCTGAGTAGCTGGGACTACAGGCATGCGCCACTATGCCCGGCTAATTTTTTCTTTATGTTAGTTGACCAATTAATTTCTTTCTATTTATAGTAGAGATGGGGTCTCGCTCTTGCTCAGAGCTGGTTTTGAACTCCTGACCTCGAGCAATCCGCCCACCTCGTCCACCCAGAGCCACCGCGCCCAGCCGGGAAGCAGTATTTTAAAAGCTTTCATGAATTAATCTTAATATGAGAAAATGATCATGGAAAAAAAGCAGGGTATAAAATTGTCCATGCTATACTATGTGATCTCAACTATGCTTAAAAATCAATAGAAAAAATGAACAGAGGGGATGGGTGCAGTGGCTCATGTCTATAATACCTGCACTTTGGGAGGCCAAAGTGGGAGGATCACTTCAGGCCAGGAGTTCAAGACCAATTTAGGCAACATAGCGAGACCAATCTCTACAAAAAATAAGAAAAATGAGCCGGGTATGCTGGCATGCACCTGTAGTCCCACCTACTCAGGAGCCCAAGGCAGGAGGATCGCTTGAGCCCAGGAGTTTGAGGTTGCTGTGAGCTATGATGACACCACTGCACTCTAGCCAGGGTAAAATAGGCTCTATCTCTTTAAAAAAAAAAAAAAAAAAAAAAAAAAGAATAGAATGACTGGAAAGAAATGTCAATAGTTGCAATGTTGGAAGTTATACTTTTTCTTACAATCTCTTATATTTCTCTAAATTTCCTATAAAATGAACAAGCAGTATTTTCATAGTTGTAAAACCAAACCGAACACCTGTTTAAAAAGGCAATGCTGCCAAATACCTCGAATGCAGTTCCCTTTTTGTCTCTCGATAAGTAGAAAAAATACCTCTGAATAGACACTGCAGAACACTGATCCCTGAGAAAAGTGAGGTCTTTTGGGGGGTCCTGAGGCCGCCCCCTGTGCATAGCCACCTGGAGCCACAGGCTCACCTGTTCTTAAGATGCTCTGGGCCTTGGCATTGCCAAGTTTCGCAGCCTGGATGAGATGGAGGGCACCCACGGCTTCGTCTTTTGGCACTGACATCCCTTCCACCAAGAGCAGGTCCTCTGTTTGGGCAGAGTAAGAATGAAAAGAGTCAATTATTAATGAGCTGTGGGCAGCCCTGTGGGGAGGCCAAACTTGTGGGACAGCAAGCCCCTAAGCAGGAAGACAGTGTTTTCTGTTTGCAATTGCAAAGCTTTTTACCATTCATGAACATCCATGTGCACTGCCCCCAAAGCCTTTGTTGCCCTCTTGCTACTTGGTTGTCCATAATCCAGAGGGTCCTGGAAAACCCTCAAATCTGACCACCGCCTCCTACTCCTCTGGCTTCCTCACTTGTCATTCCAGTAGCAGACAGAGTTCTTGAAGTGTTCTTTCCCCAAACTGTCAGCTCCTCCCGCATTCACTTCCCTCCTTGTCCAGGGTGCAGCGCTGCACTACTTGCCAGGGCCCCAGACCCTGCAGCAGCAGCTGAGGAGCAGACATAGGCCTGGGTTCAGTTTCAGCTCTGCCAGGGCAGCTTGTGCTGGCCGGAGTAAATGCTAAGTAAACAGTGGTGTTTCTGTGGCTGCCTGTAGTCCTGTCTGCTGCCAGTTACCAGCCCAGATTAATCTGCCTCCTAATCTGCTGTTATATTGGGCCCTGAAGGAAGGAAATCCCTAACCGTGCAGACTGCTGCCTTCCCTGGGCTCCCACAGCTACCTGGGCCAGTTCTCCCATTCTCCCTCCTCACTCTCCTTCACCACCTCCAGATTTCCACACTTCTTATCTCTCACATAAAGGACAGGACCAGGCAAGGCCCTTCCTCCCCTCCATACACTCATCAGTATTTACATACCTCCGCTGGCCATTCCCTCATGTGGGCCCTCTCACTGGTCCTGTGGGGGGACTCCACACCCTTCCTCTCCTGCATTCTCAGCCTTTGCCCACTGTCTCCTTTCCATTAGCAAATGTTCACAAATTAGTTTTAGGGGCAAAAAAAAGTTAACTCCTTTTATGTATGAAGCACAGATGTCCTGTACATACATTATCTGATCATAAACAGATACACAAAAATCTGTGGTACTAAAGTTTTATGGGGGAGGAGTGATTAGGAGAAAACCATCTAAATAGGCTCCTTAGAGAGTGATATGACAAGGTTGAAAAACAAACACTGTTTTAAGAGCTTCAGATGACATCTTTGGCCCCAAAGCCAATGAACTTTTATGATTTTCTTTAACTCATATCAGCTCTAGAAATTACTGGCTACTCTCTCCTCCTTGAAACTCTCTCCCCTTATTGGCTTCTGTGGCATCTCCCTATTCTGGTTTTTCTCTCATTCCTTGCCCTGCCCCCAAAACGCTGGTGTTTCTCAGGATTCCATCCTTGACTTCATCTCCTGTCTCTCCCCCTGGGTCTCAGTCATAGTGTAACCACCACCTCACTGCCCACAGCTCCCAAAGCCCTCTTCGGCCCAGTCATCACTCCTGAGAAACTGGCCCGTGTCCAGCAACCTCCCAGGCATTTCGACCTGGATGTCCACAGGCACTCAACCATCTTCTTCTGCCTAAACATGTTCCTCTCCTATTCCCAACCCCGAGCTGGCCAACCAGAAAACTGGAAGTCACTGTAGAACTGTCCCACTTAAAGCCATCCTCCATTCAACCACTGTTCCCCAACCCCTACACCCCAAAACAGAAAGTTATGGTTTAGTGAAAAATCTAAAATTCAGACCTGACGATGACATTTCCCTAAAATTGTTTAATGGCTTCTCCATTACCTGCTGGTCCTGGCTTCTTCCTGTGCACTACACCTTGCCCTGCCCTTCACTGTTTCCATGCCTGGAAGAGCTCACACAGGCATCCAAACCTGCCTGGCTAATTCTACTCGTCCTCTGACTCTCAACCCCAGGACAGAACCCTCGTGTTCCCTCCCCTGTATGGAGAAGACAGGGAACGAACTTTGGTTTCCTTCTTACATCTACATCCTTTGGCCATGGTTCTCACTGCACTTGCTACACTATATTATAATGACATTAAATGACTCTCTTTTGCATTAGACTAGAAACCATCCTGACTTTCGTAACATGTCCAGAAACAGCTTTAATTCAAATCACTCAGAGTTCAAAAACTATTAACATGTTCATCCATTTATTTCTTCATTAATATATATATTAAATACCCACCCTCTGCCGTGGCTAAGAAAACAAAACTGAGAGAACTCTTCCATGCTATCTTGGTATGCTAGACGCCTGCCCATCTCCAACCCTGGAAAGGAAGGGTGTTAATACGGGTCAGGACCAAGGCTACTGTGGAGCTTCAGTATGAGGGAGCCCTGCTCTTCTTCTAAGAAGTGAAAGGTTGAAAGTTCTGGCTTCAGTGTTCAGCTCTCTTCAGAATTTCTATTTTGAAGTACTTCCCTACCATTTGGTTAGTAATTCCTCAAGAGAAAGACACCAACCATCATGTAGCTTTTTTGCTTCCCTCTGCAAGGCCATTCCAGAGGCGTATGCTTCAATACACCCATGGCTTCCGCAGGAACAATCCGGCCCATCTAGAGACACAACAAGGTGGCCAAGTTCTGCAGCACAGAAGGAGCTTCCATGGATCAATTCATGCTGATGGATGATCCCACCACCAATGCCTACAGTGAAAGACAAAAATCATTGAGGTGGTTCTTTATCTGAAACAGAAAACTGTGATTCAGCAATGCCTCATCTGTTTACCAAAACCTGGGAATGTGGGGTTCCACATAATGCCTACTTTTCTAGATAGCTGAAGCTTACAAAGCACCAAAACTTTCTTTGGCAGGTTTTGGATGGAAATATTTTTAGTAGATCTGACGCCCTATGTCACATCTGCTTGGCTCACTATGATCTCAAACACAGCTGCAGTGGACAGGGCAGTACAAGCTCAGACTCACCTTGTGTTGACAGTATACACCCCCCTCAAGCACACGTTGCCTGTCTTCCCATACTGAGGCCTTCTCCAACACCAACGCAAGAGCCCAGTCAGCCATGCACACCCAGTACCCAAAGGCAACCCTCAACCAAGACGAGACAGGAGCCAGCCAGCAGATCCAAGTGGCCAATGCTGGATGGTGTCCACAGTAGGCTTCTTGGGAGTTCTGAAAAATTTCAACCCCCATTGTCCTCCAGGCAACTTCAATGATGTGTTCTTTAATGGCTTTCTTCTTACTCCGTTTCACTCTTCCCACTCCCTCCCTCCTGTTCCTCAGGATCACCTCCAAAAGAAAATACCTGCACCTAAATCCTTGTCTCAGGTTCTGCTTTGCGGGAAACCCAAGACAAACAGCCTCTTTAAAATGTATCACACACCACCTGCTTTCTGAAGCAGAAAATAAAATATGGTTTTACCTCTTCTTGATGCCACCCATGTCTAAAAATCTGTGATTCCATAATTTATGCATATCAATGACCATCTTTTGTTATAGAGTTTAACTGCTCTGAGCTAGGAAATGGTATAAGTGCTAAACCTGTGTCCAGAACTACGCAAGGAAGTGCATGAGCTGAAGTACATGACCTTAAAGGGAGGTAGCGTGATACAGAGTTTCAGTGCACACAAGTTTTGAAATTAGACATATCTGAGATCAAATGTTGGCTTGACCAGTTGCTAGTTGAGTCTATTTCCTCACTTAAAAAACAAATTGTACACATTAAATATATACAATAAAAATAAAATTTACGAAAACCAAAAAACTGGTTAGACATGGTGGCTCACGCCTGTAACCCCAGAGTTTTGGGAGGCCAAACCGGGAAGATTGCTTGAGGCCAGGAGTTCAAGACAAGTCTGAGCAACATAAATAATATAAACAATACAAACTTTATATATTTTATATATATATACTGTAATATATATAAATAATACCCCGCAAAATTAGCCAAGCATAGTGACATGCACCTATGGTCCTAGCTACTAGGGAGGCTGACCTAGGAGGATTGCTTGAGTCCAATAGTTTGAGGCTGCAGTGAGCTATGATCAGGCTACTGCACTCTAGCCTGGGCAACAGTGAGATCCTACCTCTAATTAATTAATTAATTAATTAAAACCAAATTGGGCCATAAGTGAAAATGATAGAGTAGGGAACTCCAAAAGTCTATCCCACAAATAAACTGGCAAACCTGTCAGAACACTGGAAACTCACCAAAAGTTTGCAACAATTAGGAGAATGCTTAATTAAACAAACAACAACAACAACAACAAAAAACCACAGCAGAATCTCGATAAGAGAGCTTTCTGGTATTTTAACTTACACTGGTCCCCTGACCCGCTCCTCAGCTTGGTAGTGACCCTACACAACAGCCCATAATCCCAGTATGGTGTAGAGATACCAATACTGGATACCAGTACCTGAGGGAGCCGGATGAACCTATTCTCAAAAAATTGTGGTTGGTTGTTTTGACCTGCCCGATAGCTCCCTGGAGGACCAGTTCAAAGGGCTTGCTTTTATTTTATCTCACCTGAGAACTATCCCAGTGCTGAAGGGGTTACATGGTGGGGGAGGGATGTCAAAAACATTTACAGGTAAAATGTATTAGTCTCTGCTGCCTACAGCAAAGGATAACAGTTGGGGCATACAATAAACTAACTAGAAAGACCAAGAGGAAAAGCTGGGGAAGAGCTGAGAAGTTCTGGGGAATAAGAGCTTTGAATAGCTCTGACAACTTCCTGGGAATTGAGAAGGCCACATGCTTGCCTAGGGCTAGGCATATGCTCAGAAAAAGACCTGAGAAGGCCCTGAGCTCTCATGGTGGCTCACCATCAGGCTCTGCAAGCAGGAAGGGAAGGCTAAGGCAGAGTTGTAACTGCCTAAGTGGTGAAGACATGCCCCAACATAAATTCTACCTCCTGAAATAGCCTTCCTTTACACCTCTTACCTGTGCCTGTGATAAGTGTAACAAAGTTTTCCAGTCCCTTTCCTTGGCCAAATTTCCTTTCTGCAAGGGCAGCACAGTTGCCATCATTGTCTACCCATACAGGAAGATGCAAAGTGTCAGATAATGGGGTCCTCAGATCCACAGAGTTCCATTCTTGGATCAGTTTGGTTGAATGTAGTACAATTCCTTCCCGAGGATTTACACGGCCACCTGTGGAAATACCTGAGCTCCACCACAAACACAAGGAAAATAATTCTGATTAGCAATCTTAGGAAAGTATGCCAACATTCTTGGCTTGGAACATAAACTTATTAGCCCCAGATCTCCTATGGCAAACATTACCAAGGGCTGCAAGGAAATATCAGGCAGTTCTGAGCTCAGTCTATCTCACAGATTTATAGTGCTATCAATACTTCTCCCACAATGCTTGTTGGTATCCCAGGAAGTCTCCATGCTTGGGGCCCACAGAAAGGACCTAGAGCCATCTATACACAGGGCAGACACTGACTTGATATTCAGTCATGCATCAGAACCTAGTAAATTTTGTACATTTAAAATGAACATTCCTCGGATATATAATTTGTAATCTTACCTACTCCCAAAATTCTGCAATTCAGTTTTACAGCTTCTGCTGCAGCTTCCACACACATCTGTAGGATTAAATTAATCCTTTCTTCATAGGTTTTAGGATTGAACTGAGTATACTTCTTAACTATTTCACCCTAAAACAGAAAAAGAAGATCTGTCTCACTGGTCTTGCCTAAGGAACATACTGTGAGTATTTTGACCTTTTTCACAATAAATCAGACATTGCTACAGAATAGTACAGCAGTCTTAGATGACTGTTTGGGGAGGCAGCCACTACCTGGACTGGGCCAGCCCTGGGATAAGCTCAAGCAGTTTCTGGGAATCTGTCCTGATATAGGGCTGTTGAAGCAATAACAACACCACACCCAACCAGATAGGCCCTGCTGTTAAGCTTAAGGGGAATATTGGCTAATTTGAATCTAATTCATTAAAAGGTCATATTTTACTCTTTTAGGTTGACAAAATTTTCCTGCTTAAATACTGAGACAACTAAATAATTATCCTAAGGAGTTGAGCTTTAATCTCCTGTACCTAAGCCAATAATGGTATAGATATTCTATTTACTTGGTCAATTTGGTATAGATATTCTATTTACTTGGTCAATTTCCTTACTGGCTGTCACAAATACCACATTGTTTAAATTACTGTGCTTTGTGATATGTTTTAATACCAAACAGGGATTGCCCCTCCTAATTACTCTTGGTTTTACATTTTTTGTGTATCTCACTTGTGTACTATTTTAAATAAATTTAAGAATAATGTTGTTAAACTTTTAAAAACTCCATGGCCGGGCGCTGTGGCTCACGCCTGTAATCCTAGCACTCTGGGAGGCCAAGGCGGGAGGATTGCTCTAGGTCAGGAGTAAACCAGCCTGAGCAAGAACGAGACCCCGTCTCTACTATAAATAGAAAGAAATTAATTGGCCAACTAATATATATAGAAAAAAATAGCCGGGCATGGTGGTGCATGCCTGTCGTCCCAGCTACTTGGGAGGCTGAGGCAGTAGGATTGCTTGAGCCCAGGAGTTTGAGGTTGCTGTGAGCTAGGCTGACGCCATGGCACTCACTCTAGCCTGGGCAACAAAACGAGACTCTGTCTCATAAAAAAAATAATAAATAAATAAATAAAAACTCTATTGTGATTTATAATAGTTTTAATTAAACTTTTTAAAAAATCCCATTGAAATGTTGACCTGAATTATGTCAAACCTATAATCCAATTTCGAAAGTGCTGACATTTTTTAAATACTTAGCACTCCCATCCAGGACATTTTTTCAAGCCTTTAAATTTACAGTAAAGTTTTATAATTTTCTTTATGTAGATCTTTCTTGTTTCAATTATTCTTAGGAGTTTTTATTGCTGTTGTTCTGAATAGAATCTCTTCTTCCATTTATATTCTTTTTATTAATGGATTTTTATATATCAAATATAGAAGTCAAAGCTGTCACTAAGGATTATCATTAAAAATAAACCTAGAGTAGTGCTTCTCAACCTTTCACTGTGCATCAGAATCACCTGGGCAGGTGTTAGCAAATGTCGATGCCTGGTCCCCAATCCTAGAGATCCCAATTTCATGAGTCTAGGGTGGAAGCCAAGCACTTATATTTTTTTAAAACTTCCAGATAATGCTAACGTGCAATCAGGGTTGACAAACACTCACCTAGAAAAAAACTCAAATCTTTGCCTACAATTTCATATAAGTAGAAAATTATTGATATATGATAATATACTTACCATAATATCCAGCCACTTTACTAAATTGTCCTATTAACTCTATAAGCTAGATGATTTGTTCACATTGCCTATAAATAATATTTTTATTTTATCCTGCTGATAATGTCCATTTTTGCTGTTCCTTGCTCTATTCCCATCATAACTTCCAGAACTATATTAGGTAATGTTGAAGAAAACATTCTTTTTTTTCTTCTTGATTTCAATAGGAATGCCTCTAGAATTTCACCATTAAAAAAGATGTTGGCTAGGCAGGTGTAGTGGCTTACGCCTGAAATCCTAGCACTCTGGGAGGCCGAGGTGGGCAGATTGCTTGAGCTCAGAAGTTCGAGACCAGCCTGTGCAAGAGCAAGACCCTGTCTTTACTATAAATAGAAAGAAATTAGCCAAATAACTCAAAATTGAAAAAATTAGCCAGGCACAGTGGTGCATGTCTATAGTCCCAGCTACCTGGAAGGCTGACGCAGGAGGATTGCTTGAGCCCAGGAATTTGAGGTTGCTATGAGCTAGGCTAACGCCACAGTACTCTAGCCCAGGCAACAGAGTGAGACTCTGTCTCAAAAAAAAAAAGATGTTGGCCATTGATATGCAATAAATCATCTTTAAGTTAAGAAAATATTCTTCTTAGTACTTTATAAGGACTATTTATAAGGGAGGCCTTTTGGCTTTTCTTGAGAAAGGTATGTTTTGTTTCGCTTTTCCTTATTTGACCTGATGATATTAACAAATTTCCTACAACTTCGTGTTTAAAATCTTTGCTATTTCTCATGGACTTCTGAAACTTTATACATTTATAATATTTCAAAGATTTTTCTAGTAGGTTTATTCTTCCTCATTAAGTCATTAGAGATCATTTTAACATGGACAATTTGTTATTTTTATGAAGGTGCTCTTCATCTGTCAATATTGTGGTATTGATAGTTTGGTTAACAGATTGAAGGTATGCTATACTCAATTAAGAGCAGAACTGTAAAAATGCAAAACTGGAGAACCCATGCAAATGATCATGTTCTAGAGAAGATGCAACTCCCCCCACCATTTGCAGATACCCTCACCTGAGTAGTGACAGTAACCTGCATACTCCATACTCTACACTATTACCAAGTATAGGATTTCAGGTCTCCTGTGTCGCAAAAGCCTTCTCTGATGCCTAAAAGGGTCTCTCCATTGTCAACTCAGTCTACTGCCTTGGATTCCCTGAGAATTTACTTCTTTGAAATGTTCATGATTAGTAAAACAGTGAGATAAACATTGTAATGGATGCAAAAGTCAATACTGGGCAAATGATTCCAAGTTCCTGTGTAGGTTTCCAGTCCTACCTTCCAAAAGTCCTACACTTCTTAAAATTAGTTATTCATATGGGATATAAAGCTAAGAGCTTAGGAACTATTTTACCTTCATGCTGACAATTGCAACTCGTAGGTTCGTTCCACCGAGATCAACAGCCAAGGCACTTAGAGTTTCAAGAATATGGTCAATATCTTGAGAGATATTCTCCTTCACAGGAGGAAAGCAGAATTTCTTTTGCAATGGCTCTTGAAGATCAATAGATTTAAGAAACTTCAAAATCCTTGGAACAGCATTTCCATCCCCATATATCTTTGAACTGCAATATACAAAAAGTCAATTAAATTAAGTGCTTCTGCCATACATGTTAAAGTGAAGGCACAGTTTAATGGAATCTGAGACTTCAGGTAAAAAGTTGTGGTTCTTCCTTTTAAAATAACAACATCTCTACATTTCATATGTACTTCAAAACATCATGTTGTACACAATAAACACATACCATTTTATCTGTCAATTAAAAATAAAAATAAAAAACTATAAATCAGGCCGGGCGCTGTGGCTCACGCCTGTAATCCTAGCTCTTGGGAGGCCGAGGCGGGCGGATTGCTCAAGGTCAGGAGTTCAAAACCAGCCTGAGCGAGACCCCGTCTCTACTATAAATAGAAAGAAATTAATTGGCCAACTGATATATATATATAAAAAATTAGCCGGGCATGGTGGCGCATGCCTGTAGTCCCAGCTACCCGGGAGGCTGAGGCAGAAGGATCACTCGAGCCCAGGAGTTTGAGGTTGCTGTGAGCTAGGCTGACGCCATGGCACTCACTCTAGCCCGGGCAACAAAGTGAGACTCTGTCTCAAAAAAAAAAAAAAAAAAAAACTATAAATCATAACTACACAGAACTAAAAACATATTTTTTAAATAAAATCACATCTGGATCTCTTCAGCAACATTGTAACTAAGTACTTGCATTTTTTTTTGCTCAAAAGCTTTGATCTTTATATTTCTGAGAAAACAAAATTATTTTCAGAATAAAATATTCAAATACTGGAAAATCTCATCAATTTGAAATAGAAAGGAGGGCAGTCAAACTTGATTAAAATATTGAACTAGACTATTTTTTTAAATCATTTACATTTTCTAATACTTACAGAAAGTCAAATTAGGCTAAAGAAGTATTTCCTAGCAAAAGTGTCAAGTTAATTAACAGAGACAAATAAAAAACATATTCTACATTGGAACCCCAGGTAGAGTACTAAATGGTACAATATGAGCAAGCCCTGTCACCTGCAGCTAGGGGACCCCTAGGCATTAGAAGGAAAGCTCTGTTCAAATGAGTAAGCAGTGACCACAGCTCTAAAATGGTGCCTGAGATAGCTCCTCTTTTAAATCACTCAAAAAGGAAAAAGGTAGTATACTCACCAGGGGTACTGTTTACCAAACTGAAGGTGCAGTGCCTGCAATATTTTGTCTTGGGTGTCAGCATCCCGGACGTGAAGGACATTCTCCCCTAGGCAAATCCAGTGACACATAACAATGATTTGGAAGTAGGAATATTCAAAGAATAAAGAAGGCAGCAGTGTATTATGCTCATATTACTCCTGAAACTCAGCACACTTTAAGTAAGTCATCTTTTATTAGGGAGATGTCAACTTCTCTACTTTATATCTTTATACCTTTTAAAGCATTCTCGGTAAGATTTCCATGTTTTTGTCTTTTGTTGTTATTTTTTTTGAGGCAGAGTCTCACTCCCTTCCCCTGAGTAGAATGCTGTGGCATCAGCCTAGCTCACAGCAACCTCAAACTCCTGGGTTCAAGCGATCCTCCTGCCTCAGCCTCCTGAGTAGCTGGGACTACAGGTGCACATCATGACGTCTGGCTAATTATTATATTTTTTTTTTATTTAATTATTATATTTTTAATAGGGATGGGGTCTCACTTTTGTTCAGGCTGGTCTCAAACGCCTGAGTTCAAGCAATCCTCCTGCTGTGGCCTTGCAGAGTGCTAGGATTATAGGTGTGAGCCACCTCTCCCAGCCAGATTTCCATGTTTGTTTATTGAAATAAATAAGGTGGATTAATCTAGCATCCACTTGCCACCTGCCTGGATCTTTCAGGTCCACTCTCTTTCAACTTCCCCTGTCTTCCATCTACTCAGCCAGTCGTTCACTCAACTAGTCAGGCAGTCACTTTCCACACATTTCCTGACCAATGTGAGGGAGTAAATATGCGAAACTGTTGCCATGCGAAACCATGCCATGTTTTTCAACAGGCATGGCTAAGAAGAGAAGAGCAGCAGAGAGTGGTGGCTGGAGAGTAGTAGTTTTGTTTTTAAGATGTGAGAGGCCTAGGCATGTTCAAATGAGAAGGTTAAACACACACAGCAGAGAAAGGAGGACTGATGGATAGATTCCTGAGAAGGCAGGAGGATTGCGAACACAGGCAGAAGGATGAGCAGAGGACATGCCATGAGTAGAGACACCTACTCCTATATCCCACACGCTGCTGTAAAGAAGGTAAGAAGGAAAGGATGAATAGGCATGTATGTTTTTATAAGTTTATTTAAGTGTGGTGGCAGAAAAGTACAGAGAGACCATGTTACCGCATTCAGTGTTCCATTCTCCTTTTACATCTTAAACGAATTCTCAGCAGGATCCAACACTACCTCCTTGAAACACTTTATTTTCTAGGCTTTAAGGATAACACACTCTCCCAGTTTTCCTCCAACCTCACTAGTAGTTCCTCTCCAGTCTTCCTTGCTGACCCTTCCCTGTTCACCAGAACTCTAAATGCTGAAGGGCTCCAGAGATTGGTCTTACTCTCCATTCTCTGTCTTATTTATAAGTTGTCCCTTAAGTAATCTCATTTAATCCCTGGGTTTTAAATATCATTTATGGCAGAGTGTTATTATCCTCAATACCCCTTCTTTACACTAGCAACAGAATTTTTAGCTAGGTATCTGATCACCCAGCCAAAGACTATCTCCTTCAGCTTGGTTTTCAGCTAGATGTGGCCATGTGACTAAGTTCTGATGGACGTGAGAAGAAAATTTGCAATTTCTAGGTCATGTCTTTAAAAAAGAAGGGCATCTTCTCCTTTCCTCCTTCCCAAATGCTAAAATATGGACTTGATAGCAAGAGCTGGAGCAACCATCAAGCAGACAGTCTGATGACTGTGGAGCTGTCATACCAGTGAAAAAAAAGAAAATATTATTTAAGCCACTAGTATTTTGGTTCTCTCTTTTACAGCAGCTGAACTGATAACTACTCTATATCATCTACATGCTGATGACTTTCAAATTTATATCTCCAACTCTAACTCTTCCTGGAACTATCTAGCTGCTTATAGTCAACTCTGCTTTGATACCTAATAGGCATCTCAACCTTAACATGGCCATAAGAGAACTCTTAATTCCATCCCCTCCCAAATCTATTCCTCTCTTGGTGTTCCCAATACCAGGAAAGAACACACTGCTCAATCCAAAAATCTAGGCTTTATTATTGATTCCTTTCTTCCCTTCACCTCTCACATTCTAGCAAGTACTATAACAAATCCCATCAGCAAGTACTTGCATTAACAAGTACTGCAACAAACCTCAAATCTAACTTTTCTCTATCTCTAATACTATCACTTAGTCCAAGCCACTATCATCACACATCTACAACTGAAAAAGCCCCTTAACTGGTTTCCCTGCTTCCACCCTTGCCCTACCACATTCCACTCTCCTTATTATCATCCAGAGCAATCTTTCCAAAATGCAAGTCATATTGTGGCATTTTCTCCTTAAATGGCCTCCCATCATACTTAGAAAAAATTCCAGCCAGCCTGGCAGGTCTCTCTCAGTACTGGACACTAGAGCACAGTGCTGCTGCTCCCGGTTGCTCAGTTTCCTGCTCCCGACCGTCCACCTGTCTACCACAGGGGCAGCCCACAGCACGAAGCCTGGTGCAGACCCACACTGCCACATCACAGAGTGGGTTAGGGGCTGCAGGAGGAGAGCCTGAAGGCATCCTGGGTAGAACTGCACTTTAGCAACAGCGGGAACGGGAGCAGAGTTCCAGCCTCAGTTTCTATTTATAATGGTGACATGGAGAAAATACTGCTGGATGCCCAGCATGAGTCTGGACTGAGCAGTTTCAAGACTTCTCACTGTGACACCCCACCTCCCTCACAGACACAAGATATTAATAGAGCTTCTGAAACAGACACTCATAGCATTGGAGGAAAAAACAGCTCTCAGTCTGAGGAAGATTATATTGAGAGAAGGAAAGACGTTGAGAGCATCATGAAGAAAAACTCAGATTGGATATGGCATTGGTCTAGTCGGCCAGAAAATATTCTCCCCAAGGAGGTCCTCTTTAAACACCTGAAGCACAGCTACTCCCAGCACCAGGAACACAAGTGTTTATGAAGAAACAGGGCATATTCTTGGCAAAATTCCTAAAGGTTTTTCTTCTGTCTCTGCTGCTCTCTCATCTGCTGGCCATTGAATTGGGGATCTGTATTGGAAGACATCTGACAACCTCCAACAGCAACTTTTGATGAAGAATTGGAATCCAACTTTGTTCATATAGTAGAGATTTATATCTGAGCTTGCAACATAGCTGACTGAAGAGCTATTATTATGATCCTTGGGTGGCTGCATAGCTTGTGTTTATTTGTTCTGTAAATGCTGTGTTTCTTTTACTAAAATGAAAGAATAGACACTAAAACCACGCTGACCCATAAGCATACCTATGGGATCAATTAATAAGCAAGGCAGACTGATTACTATCTACTATATCAATTTGGTAGTGAATTTTCTTTGGATATTAGATATATCTAAATATACATAATTTTTAATATACTAGTCATGATATATGTAGTATTTTAAAAATTATCTGTAACCTTAATTCGGTTAAAACACTTTCTATTTCAAAAGAATAGATAAATTGACATTAAAATTACTACTTTTAGGAGTCTGTCTAAAATAAATATTGTGGTCTTATATTTAAACTATTGTACTAGCACTCTGGGAGGCCAAGGTGGGTGGATTGTTTGAGCTCAGTAGTTTAAGATCAGCCCAAGCAAAAGCGAGACCCCCCTCTCTACTAAAAATAGAAAGAAATTAATTGGTCAACTAAAAATATATAGAAAAAATTAGCCTGGCATGATGGCGCATGCCTATAGTCCCAGCTACTCAGGAGGCTGAGGCGGAAGGATCGCTTGAGCCCAGGAGTTTGAGTTTGCTGTGAGCTAGGCTGACGCCACAGCACTCTAGCCCAGACAACAGAGTGAGACTCTGTCTTAAAATAAATAACTAAATAAATAAACTATTGTAGAAAATATTGTGTTTAAGCAGATGCAAGTTGTCTACTAAAGACTACACATACCTATGCTAATTGTTCTTAAGTAACGAATAGAAATCAAGGTACAGCTACAGATCCCACTGGACAGCTGATGTTCTAACCTATTCTTGCTTTTGCAGTGTAAGGACTTTAGCTTCCAACTGTTGTTAGGTGATCACCTTGGGGCGTCAATTTTCTGTCAAAGGCACCTACTCAGTCTCTTATTCTTCATCACTCTGGGTTGCCAATTTAATCCTATCATTTGTGCTCAGCTTTTGTGTGTTCTTAAAGTCAGCTTTATTCTAAGTAAATCTGGGTCTACTTTAAAAGTCTGGGAAATGAAAATAAATAAATAAATCTTTGCCAAATCCTTCAGGAAAAAAAATTCCAAATGATTTACCCTGGCTTACATGAGTCTGCCTCCTTCTCTAAAACCATCTGCATCGCTCTGCCTCTTGCTCGCCACCTTTCAGCCACGTTGGCCCTTCTGTTTCTAAAATACACCAAGCTTGTTCCCACCTTAGGGCTTTCACACTGGCTATTCCCTCTGCTTCTCCCTGATCCTCACATAGCTGACTCCTTGTCAATCAGATCTCAGCTTAAGTTTCACCTCCTCAAAGAGGCCTTCCTTTACCCAATCTCATGTAGCCCATCACATTACATTGTGTTACAGTCTGCACAGCATGTAGATATCCTGGTTTGGTTTTGTTCCTTTTTTTTTTTTTTGAGACAGAGTCTCACTCTGTCGCCCAGGCTATAGTGCCGTCGTGGCGTCAGCCTAGCTCACAGCAACCTCAAACTCCTGGGCTCGAGAGATCCTTCTGCCTCAGCCTCCCGAGTAGCTGGGACTACAGGCATGCGCCACCATGCCCGGCTAATTTTTTTATATACATATCAGTTGGCCAATTAATTTCTTTCTATTTATAGTAGAGACGGGGTCTCGCTCTTGCTCAGGCTGGTTTTGAACTCCTGACCTTGAGCAATCCGCCCGCCTCGGCCTCCCAGAGAGCTAGGATTACAGGCGTGAGCCACCGCGCCCGGCCCTTTTTTTTTTTAATGTAAGTTACAAGACAGCTTAGCCCTCGTTAGTCTAGTTCAGGCATCTTCAAACTATAGCCCACGGGCTACATATGGGTGTTTCTGCCCTTTTGTTTTTTTACTTCAAAATAAGATATGTGCAGTGTGCACAGGAATTTGTTCATAGTTTTTTTAAAGCTATAGTTCGGCCCTCCAACGGTCTGAGGGACAGTGAACTGGCACCTATTTAAAAAGTTTGAGGACCTCTGGTCTAGTTTATCACCAAATCCCAATGCCTAACACATGTAGGTGCTTACTAAATATGTTCTTAATGAATGAATTAATGAATTTGAAAGAATTTCCATCTGATGGCTTCTATTTTCCCTATGAAATTAGGAGCAAAGTAATATGCCGGAAATGAAAGGGGAAGAAGATCTAAAGAGAACAGAAAGCTAGCTGGAACTAATCTCCTTGGTTCTAAGTCCAGTTCTTTTTCTATTAATGATATACATTTTTCCATTAGCTACAGCTTCCATTAGCTTCAATACAGCTTTCATTAGCATGTAGATGGTATTAGAATTTGAACTAATGCTAACAACAGGATCTAGCTCAGTTAGCAAATTCATTAATAATACTTTAACTTACACTTAGTTATTAAGGGACACCTTACTTATAATTGCCATACTCTACTTTTTTTTAACAACTCATAACATGTAATAGATTGGCCATACTCTAAAGTACTGACTGACGGGACTCTATTCTAGGCTCAGAAAATGAACGACTAGCATTCATATACTCATGACACATTCAACCACATTTTCTCTTAAACACAGCCATCAAAGACTATAATTAAGTAAAAAACACTTAGCACTAATTGATATCACAAGACAATAAAAATGTAAGCAAAGCTCTAAAAAATATGGTAATCACTGTGTGCTATTTATAGACTATAGATTTTAGGCTACAATTGGTCATTAACCCCATTTGCTCACTTGTTCACAAAAATATATGCTCAGCACTGATATATGCATACCTTATAATAACTTATACATATGTATAAAGTCTAGTGAATTGAAATATAAGCAAAGGTAAACACCTGTTTCTCTTCCAATCTGGCGCGTTCCCAGGTTGATCACAGGTGTTCCAAAAGCTCCAACCTCTCGTACCCCACAGCTGCTGTTCCCAATCATACAACCAGCATGGGCGACCAACTGTATAAACTGGTCAAATGGGACATGTTTAACTGCACGAAAATTGGGATGATGCTCAATGCCCTTCTTCCGCATCACTCGGACCATCTCTTTGCTCCCTGTGAAAATGAAAAGAAACAATTGTTAAACGGTTTACGAGATAAAGAAATCATTTTCATTGGCAAATATAGCCCTATTTAAAGAAATCTCCCTATAAAACTCACACCAGGCCAGGCACAGTGGCTTACACCTGCAATCCTAGCACTCTGGGAAGCCGAGGTGGGAGGATCACTCTTGAGGTCAGGAGTGCGAGACCAGCCTGACCAAGAGCGAGACCTGTCTCTCTCTACTAATAATAGAAAAAATTAGCCAGTCAACAAAAAATTAACCGGGCGTGGTGGCTTGTGCCTGTAGTCTCAGCTACTTGGGAGGCTGAGGCAGGAGGATAGCTTGAGCCCAGGAGTTTGAGGTTGCTGTGAGCTAGGCTGACACCACAGCATTCATTCTAGCCCAGGCAACAAAGCCAGACTCTATTTAAAAAAAAAAAAAAAAAAAACCCTCACACCAATTATTAAGGAAACAGTAGTGATAATTACTGATCTTTTCATCAATGATGAGTATCTACAATGTCTGGCCAGCTCTCTGCTTCAACTCATCTAGGAACTCTAACAGCAGCAGTTGGCACTTTTCAAACAGAACTTAGAAAATACCTTTTATTAATGCCCTGGTAAAAAGCAAACAAACAAACAAACAAAAAAAAAAACCTTTACTTTAGACAACAATTAAGAGGCTAAAAACAGGCCAACAGTCTATATCGCTTAAGCTGGGAGTTCCTGAATGGAAAGCTCTCAGGCTCCACACACCATGCTGATCCAAGAGCCTCTGCCCAACTGTGCTCATTTTTACACTAACAATAGCTCAGCTGGATAGTACTCCCATTTAAGTGGACTAAACTCCAAGAAAATACAATAGGTTCTGATACTGTGGCTTTTATTTTCTTTTAAATTCATGACTTAAAAACATTTAAAGATGTATGGGGGGAGGCAATATTTAATGCCCCCCTGCTTGCCTCTCTACTTACCTTCTCCTAACTACCCCATACCAAGGGAGGAAAAGTTGCTAATCTGATTGGTTAGAAGGCAGAAGAGTGACTACACCATGCTCACTGTGGGCAGGAGCCACTGATTTAGCAGAAGCTATGTATGCATCTGTTCTCAATCTTTTTAAATTTCTCTATGTGGCAAGGTGGGTAAATGGACTGAGGGTCCAACTCCCTGGAGAAGGCTGGCCACTCCTCTCCCATTACAGTCTTGCCAGAGCATGCCAATCATCACCAGTAATTACTATAAAGGTTGAATATCCCTTATACAAAATGAGTTAGACCAGAAATATTTCAAATTTCAGATTTTTGAAATATTTGTATTACACTTGCCAGATCAACATTCCTAATCTGAAAATCCAAAATCCAAAATGTTTCAGTGAGCATTTCCTTTGAGCATCATGTTGGCACTCAAAGAGTTTCAGATTTTGCAGCATTTCAGATTTCAGATTTTTACATTAGGGATACTCAAACTGTAATACATGGTACACCAGAAGGTACTACCATTCCAAGATTCAGATTTGCATTCAGCTGAAGTTTCCTCGTTTGGCCTTAAACGAAATAATCCAGTTTTCCAGAGTCCTATACTAGGGAACTGGGCACTAAGCCAGATAATGATAAAATGATGCCTTGATTCTTATTTCCCTAATATTCCCTCTGTGTATCTTATCAAAAACCCCCGGTAGATCAGAAGTGACTGGCAGGCATGATTTAGGTATTCCTGGAACCCTTTATTTTCATAGAGGAAAAATATCTCTAATTCTAAAGTATATATAATGTAAAGTGTTTGTATATTACAAACAGAATATATCATTGACAATGAATATTGAACAAGAGAGATATATAATTATATTACAAATATTTATATAAAATTTAAAGGACTAGAAAATAAATATTAAGGTTTTTGAAATATTGATATATTACATGGACAAAAATCTGGGTGGGGTATTCTTAGATTTTTTTCAACTAACACTCTACTTTGTTTCCCCTAAGAGAAAAGATTAATCAAGGGACACTAAGAGAGGGGTTCTTTCGGTGTAAGATGGTAACATCTTGACATTGCGGAGAAATGGTCCTGCCTCCTTTACCAAAAAATGCCTAAGAGCTCAGCAATGAGTGGTGTCAGCTAACAATAACCAGTGTTTAAAAAGTCCTCAGTGTTAGGGCTTGCTCTGGCATTTCTCATGTATATCTCATGTTCCCATTAACTTGCCTAGGGTCTCACTAGCACCTACAGTACCATCCACCAGTAGTAGGTGATCAACCAGGGTAGGTTTGAGATCAACTGGTTAAGGACTTCAGATCTAAACTGCTTAAGCTCAAGGTTACTTTAAGGTATAGCTAGCATAAATAAGAAAGGAAATAAGAAATAATAATAATGGCTATTTTACTACAGTCAGTGAAATCATTATGTTCTAGAGATGCTCTTTCACTTCAACTTGTAAGGTCTGTGTCTCTTGGCTAGTGCAGTTTCTCACTGGTGGAAACTGCGGAGGGAAGAGACTAAACGTGAGACTAAAGTAGAGAATAGAAAGACCTTTTTAGTACTTATTTCTTGCTTATTAGGTTTCTACTAGACTTGACAAAACACTACAAACTCTAAGCTACAGAAAATCAATAATCCTTTGAAAACTGGAATGCATTTCAGAATATAGTGGTCATTGAAGATAAGAAGAACAAGGCAATCAAAAGAAGAGATAATAGAAATGTAAAATTAGAAAAGGTAGTGGCATTGTTTCATTTTCAAGTTCAATTACCTGCATCAATATTTGGAAATAGAACTAGGGTCCGCTTGTTAAATGAGATAAGTGCATCCAATGTTAACTCAAACATTTTTATGGAATGCTTAATGTCAGTGGTCACAGGGTGCTGCAGTGCAACAATGTAATCTTTAGATTTTACATCATCACCTGTTTAAAGAAAATCAAACCACATTGCTTGATTAGTTAAGAATCTCAAAAGACAAAGAAGCAAATTCTAAAAGCAAGGCCCTAAAGTTTGTGCTTTTAAAAATTCTAAGGTAAAAATAGTTTGTTACATTCTAAGTAGGGCATATAAATTAAGATCAACTGATAAGAACTTACAGCAACAAGTCCAAGGATTCAGTAAACTTACCATTTTACAAAGGTGCTTGCCACAACAAACATAACTTTAAATAGCAGGTATTAGAAATTCATTGTTTTAAAATCCAAAATATGCCAAAGTACTAGAAAAATGTGAAGCGTCCCAATTTCTAATGTTTCTAAGGAATAATCAGCAATGTTAATGAATAATAATATGCTGCAAATCACGGCATTTAGAGATTGAATGATCATTAAACATATTTCATGTAATGCATAGGAGTTTCCCCATACCACCACCTACCGAATTCAACAAGGGGCAAGTGTTTCTAACTCTGTTCAAAGGACTAGAAAGGTTTCACTCATCCCTAGGTTGGTAGCCCAGTGACAGTTCCTCAGCAAAAATTTAAAGTGTAAAGAGTCTGGATTGATAATGCTATGCCAAATAACACAAGACATTTATCAACAGGGCCTATATTATCCTATAAAACCGAAAATGAGTTCTGCTCATTTATTTATGTATTTATTTATTTTTGAGACAGAGTCTCACTCTGTTGTCCTGGCTAGAGTGCCGTGGCATCAGCCTAGCTCACAGCAACCTCAAACTCCTGGGCTCAAGCGATCCTACTGCCTCAGCCTCCCGAGTAGCTGGGACTACAGGCATGTGCCACCAGGCCCAGCTAATTTTTTCTATATATTTTTAGTTATCCAGCTAATTTCTTTCTATTTTTTAGAGACGGGGTCTCACTCTTGCTCAGCTGTCTCGAACTCCTGACCTTGAGCAATCCGCCCGCCTCGGCCTCCCAAGAGCTAGGATTACAGGCGTGAGCCACAGCGCCCGGCCTCCACTCACTTATTTTTAATGAAAGGATATATTTCTCTGTGATATTATTTTTTTGTTTGAGACAGAGTCTCTGTCGCCCTGGGTAGAATGAAGTGGCATCATGGTAGCTCACTGCAACCTCAAACTCCTGGGCTCAAGAAATCCTCACCTCAGCCTCCCAAGTAGCTGGGACTACAGGTGTGTGCCACAAGGCCTGGCTAATTTTTCCTGCTCAGGCTGGTCTCAAACTCCTGTGCTCAAGCAATCCTCCCACCTCAGCCTCCCAGAGTGCTAGGATTACAGGCATGAGCCACCACATTGGGCCTGTGATATTAATTTTATTGATCAATTTTATCATTAATATATAGTTTATCATTAACTTTATCATCCAAATTCAACAAGCAGCAGTTATTTTTTATGATTTAATGGTAACAGAGGATTTTTACTTAGTTAGAATCTTTAATAGTATTTTATTTAAAATACCATATTGGCTATAAAATTTCATTTTTAAAAAGTATTATGTCCCATATTAGCTTCTAAACTGGAAGGGGAGGGGGATATAATTATTAAATTTTGGAGTTGGGGTAGAGGGGAAAAATATTAAATTTTTGTACAAAAAGACCTGAAGGCTTAAAAGAATCTATCAGAAACTTGATAAAACATTAAAACATGAGAGGAAATATAAGAGGAAAACATCCTCTTACATTACAGTTAACAGAAGTCTAGAAAGATGAGATCAACATAAATAATCTACTAGATGCAGATGAAGGCCATTAGAAAGAAACTATTTCAAAGAAATTAAAAACTTGGGGAAGTAATAGCAACAAAAGAAGTGCTTTCACTGTAAAGGATTTGGAAATCCTTCGTATATGCTACAATCTGACCACAAGTACAAGTTTGTTCTGCTATAATGCATGTTTCTACAATATGGTTTTTTTTCTTTCCTTTTTTTTTTAGTACACTGAACAAGACTGAATCTACAATATGAATTAGCTCATCCATGACTAGTAAAGAGAGGAATGATGTCAGCCTTTAATGTAGTTTTTTTTTTTTTTTTTGAGACAGAGTCTCTCTTTGTTGCCCAGGTTAGAGTAAGTGCCATGGCGTCAGCCTAGCTCACAGCAACCTCAAACTCCTGGGCTAGAGCAATCCTGCTGTCTCAGCCTCCCGAGTAGCTGGGACTACAGGCATGGGCCACCATGCCCGGCTAATTTTTTTTTTTTTTTTTTGAGACAGAGTCTCGCTTTGTTGCCCAGGCTAGAGTGAGTGCCGTGGCGTCAGACTAGCTCACAGCAACCTCAAACTCCTGGGCTCGAGTGATCCTTCTGCCTCAGCCTCCCTAGTAGCTGGGACTACAGGCATGCGCCACCATGCCCGGCTAATTTTTTATATATATATCAGTTGGCCAATTAATTTCTTTCTATTTATAGTAGAGACGGGGTCTCGCTCTTGCTCAGGTTGGTTTTGAACTCATGATCTCAAGCAATCTGCCTGCCTTGGCCTCCCAGAGTGCTAGGATTACAGGCGTGAGCCACCACGCCCAGCCTTTAATGTAGTATTAACAGTTGCATTATTCATACATGATTCCTCATAGCAGGATGCAAAGAACCCTAATGTAAATGTAGAAATAGTCTCATAACAAGGCCCTTCACCTGCATTCTTTCTCTTGGTTCTGTTTGCCCTTGTACTCCAGCTTGAAAACACTTACATGATAAGTCTCTCTGGTCCTTAGGCATTTTGTGGACAATTTTTCTTTGAAAGTGAGGGTGTTATGGAGCTTCTACAGTCCCATGCAGAGGATTGTTCTATATAACTTATCGCTATAACCTATTGCTAAAGGGCAAGCAGAAAGTGAAGAGAAAGAAAAATCCCAGCATTTTCCCCATAAAAGCTTTCCACTTCTCATTTATCTTCTTCTGTAAGTGTGATTAAGAAACACCTGTAGTGCATAGAAAATAACCATACAATGCAGAATGCAGTAGAGTTGTGCTTTGTAACTTAAGGTTCTATGTGGAGCCATTTAAGTTGTTTCTTTATGAAAGGATGGCAAAACAGCAAAAACTAGATGTCTTTTTTTAAACCAGTGAAAAAGAAAACACATTGACAATGAGCCAGAGCTACCCATCCCTAGCAATAATACATTTTGTGCAAAGCCTGCACCTGCTTCTCAACCTGCAACTTTTGACATTCTGCCTTTGTATCTATAACTCAGTAGCCTCAGCCCTTTATACAACCCATTCCATTAAGGTACCAGCATTTTGTTTTGTGTTGTAAAGTCCTATATTTATTGTGGTATTTCTTTCATTATAAGGAATTTAACATGTCTTTTTAACTTTGCCAATATTTTTATTAAGATTGTTATATATTATTGTCCTGGTTACAAAACTGCATGTTATATATAGCCTACCCAACCCTATTTTCCTAGAAGCAGAGTGATAACATGAGAAGTTGCACATCAAGAAGCAGGCACAAAATTTATCATTGCCAGGGATGGATGGCTCTGGCTCATTGTCTAGGTTTTCTTTTTCACTGGTTTAACAAACAAAAAAATCCAGTTTTGGCTGTTTTGTCATTCTTTATTTCATAAATAACTGCCAAGAAAATGTTCCCAAATAGGACTTTAAGCCATACAAGTACAATCTTGCTGCATTCTGCTTTCTAATGATTATTTTCCATTCATTACAAGTTTTTCAGTAACATAGGGTTTTCCAAAATACATACAGAGCTAACTGTACAGCCAGAACAGAATGCAAGAGTGTTTACTCAGAAGCATACAGAAAGAACAGACTGAGAGACAGAAGTTTGTTCCATCAGCATTATCTAGATGGGTTCCTTGATAACTGCAAATATGGGGTAACAAATACATAGAATGGGCTGGGCGTAGTGGGTCATGCCTGTAATCCTAGCACTCTGGGAGGTCAAGGTGGAAGAATCACTTAAAGTCTTATTTACAAAGATAATCTCTAATGCTACAACTATGATGTTTCCTTTTTCATAAAAATAACAATTTTCCATTGTACTAAAAAATGCAGAAAAACAAAAATAAAAACATTCTGGTGGCTCACGCCTGTAATCCTAGCTCTCTGGGAGGCCGAGGCGGGCGGATTGCTCGAGGTCAGGAGTTCGAAACCAGCCTGAGCAAGAGCTAGACCCTGTCTCTATTATAAATAGAAAGAAATTAATTGGCCAACTAAGATATATAGAAAAAATTAGCCGGGCATGGTGGCGCATGCCTGTAGTCCCAGCTACTTGGGAGGCTGAGGCAGAAGGATTGCTTGAGCCCAGGAGTTTGAGGTTGCTGTGAGCTAGGCTGATGCCATGGCACTCACTCTAGCCTGGGCAACAAAGTGAGACTCTGTCTCAAAAAAAAAAAAAAAAAAAAAAAAACAACATTCATAATACCACACTAGAAATAAATATAATAAATGACTTGGTATACATAAACTTTCCATTGTTACAGTTTTTATAAAAATGGCATGATATTACATGTATGATTTTGTAACTTGCTTTCTTTTTTCCTTTTTGACAATCAGGATCTGTCTTTGTACTAAAAATTCACCCACAATGTCATATTTAATGAATTAAAAGCATTCTATTGTATAAATACAGCATGAACTTTTAAAAAATCAATTAAGTCTGTTTTACAGAAAAGATGAACTTCAGAGAAGTAAACTCATATCATAGGGCAAGGTCTATGAACTATATAACTTTGGCCTTCTGATTGCTACTGGAATATCTTGTCCATGATAGTTTCCAAAAGGATCAAAATATACCCAGCAGTTTCTCACAAAAACAGACTGAATAAAGTCTGATATACATACCTAACCACATCCGAATGATGCTCATATAGTCTTTGTTCTTGGCTGAGAGAAGTTTGTCATAGGAAGGGCAGCCTGCCAAAAGGATGCGATCATGGTCCTCACACATGGATATCAGGTGCTGCTCTGCACTTCGGGTGCAGCACACATGGTAATGAGCCAGTTTTGTTATGGCATGTCTGATAGAGTCATCAATGGTCCCACTGACTTCCCCACCTTCAATGTGAAGGATTCGGATGTTCATTAAGGCAGCGGATGTAGCCAGAGCCAGGGCATCAAACCTGTCTCCATGAACAATCATGATATCAGGCTTCAGGCGATTAAGGACATCTGGTAGCTTCACCAGGGCCAGGCCTACTGACTCCACCATGGCTGCCTCATCTTCCCCTCTAACAATGGTGTGCAGCCTGGTGTTAATGTCAAAGTCATCTTGTTCAATCATGCGGTATGTATTTCTAAAACAGGAAGAAATAAAGATGTGAGAGCACGTTCTTAAACACAGGGCCACAACATACAAGAAAAGCAATCTAACACCAACCCTGAGGGGAAAAACATTTTTAAAATTTTACTTGTTAAAGTAAATAAATTGTAGTATAACTTACAAACAAAGAGTATAGACCATAAGTATATATATATAGTCTGATAATTTTCTTATATGACAACCTCTGTAACCACCACCCAGATCAAGATATAACACATCTAGCACCTTGGAAGGATCACATGTACCCCCTCCCCTCCAAGTCAGTACCTGGAGGGAAAAACATCTGAAGGCTAATGTTTTTATTAGGAAGAAAAAAAACCAAACTTTCAATGGGTCAAGACTTTTTTCTTTTTCTTTTTTTAAATATCAATTTCTTTAAAAAAAGAAGTATACACTTAACAGGAAAAAAATGTTACTTACAAAAACAAAGCTTGTTTTTTTTTCTATAAAAAATAAAATAAAATAGCAGGAAACAAAGATATCTGATATAGCACTATAAATTCATGAATGATAAAAATGATCTCCTGGATTCTCTTTGTATGGTACCACTAATGCAAGCATAATTTTATATAGAATGAAAATGTAGGCTTCATAGAATTAAAGCAACTGCAAAATGCAGTTTCAAGTTTGCTTTACGCTTCAATTATAACAGCAACCCTCAATGCCTTAACATTTCCTGTTATGACTAAATTTTTAAAAATACTGTCTTTAAAAAAATATAATAAATGTTTATTACTTAAAAATTAGAAAATACAGAAAATTACTATCCCCAAACCTACCATTCAGCAATAACAAGTATTATTTTGATTTCTTCCTAGCTATTTTATGCAAATATTTTAACATGTTTGGGAACACATTGTACATATAATTTTGTAATCTACTTAATCCATTTAATATTTTCTCAGATCATTAAGGATTCTTTATATACATCATTTTATATCATATAGATGTTCTAATAGTCATTTTGTAGATTCCTTTGGATTTTGCTACATAAGAAATCATGTTATCTGTAAATAAAGACAATTATTATACCTTTATTTCTATTTCTTGCTTTAATGCACTGGCTGTCACACATCCAGTACAAGTGGAAGAGAGGTGGTAAAAGTGGAAATGCTGACCTTGTTCCTAATCTTAGGGGGTAAGCATAAATTTTATGTTAGCTATAGGTTTTTCACAGATGGTCTTTATCAGATTGAGGTTTCCCTTCTATTCCAAGTTTGTTAAGAATTTTTGTCATAACTGGTTGTTTAAATTGTGTCAAATGTTTTTTTTTTTGGATATCTACTAAGATGACAGTATACGTTTTCCCCTTTATTCTGTTAATATGTGAATTATACTGATTTTCAAATGCTAAGTTAATCTTAAATTCTTGAGATAAACTCACAGGTCATGATGTATTATCTGTTTTTTATATTGCTGGATGTGACTTGCTAATAATTTGTTTAATTTTTTATGCCTATGGACCTCAGGAGTGGCCCTGTCCCCACAGCTCCACTAAGCATTGCCCTAGTGGGGTCTCTCTGTACTATATTCATGAGGGATACTGGTCTGAATTTTCATTTTCCTTTGTCTTTGTCAGGTTTTGATATCAGGATTATGCTGGCCTTATAAAATGGGCTGGGAAAGCTCCCTCCTCCTCTATTTTCTGTAGATGTTTATATAAAAGTGGTGTTAATTTCTTCCTTAAATCTTTTAATAAGTGAAGCCATCTTTGTGGGAAATTATTTTTACAAGAAGCCTTTGATAATAAAGTCAATTTCTTTAATAGTGGGGTATTGAGATTAAAAAAAAAATTTTTTTTATCACAGATCTACATATTTAGGGGGCACATGTTATATTCTGCTACAAGTATACAATGTGTAATGATCAAATCAGGGTAATGGGGCTATCCATCATCTCAAACATTTATCTTTCTTTTCTTTGTGTTGGGAACATTACAATTCTTCTCTTCTAGCTATTTTGGAAGATTTTGATGCAATATATTATTGCTAACTATAATTTCCTTACTGTACTATCAAATACTAGAACTTACTCCTTCTAACTGTATTTTTGTACCCATTAACCAACTTCTCTTCATTCCTCCCTCCACTGAGATTTTCTATTTCTCTGTATCAGTTTTGGTAAGCAGTCCTTTTTCAAGGAATTTGCCCATTTCATCTAAACTGTCAAATTGGCATAATAGTTCTCTTTTATTTTTTTAATGTCTGTAGGATCAACAGAGATATCCTTTTAGTCATTTCTTTTTTTTCTTTTTGAGTCAGAGTCTCACTCTGTTGCCTGGGCTAGAGTGCCGTGGCATCAGCCTAGCTCACAGCAACCTCAAACTCCTAGGCTAGAGCAATCCTACTACCTCAGCCTCCTAAGTAGCTGGGACTACAGGCATGCGCCACCATGCCCGGCTAATTAGTTTCTTTCTATTTTTAGTAGAGACAGGGTCTTGCTCTTGCTCAGGCTGGTTTTGAACTCCTGACCTTGAGTGATCTACCCGCCTCGGCCTCCCAGAGTGCTAGGATTACAGGTATCAGCCACCTCGCCCAGCCTAGTTGTTTCTATATTGGTAATTTCTATGTTCTTTTTTTCTTGTGCATTGCTAGGAGTTTGCCAATTTTATTAATATTTTTAAAGAATTAACTTTTGGCTCTGTTAATTTTCTCTATTGTTTATCTTTTTAAATATTTCATTGATTTCTACTCTTTATTGTTTCCTTTCTTCTACTTACTTACTTTGGATTTAATTTTCTCTCTCACTCTCTCTCCTTTTTTTTTTTAGAGACAATGTCTTGCTTTGTTGCTCAGGCTGGAGTGCATTGGCCAGATCGTACCTCACTGAAGCCTTGAACTCCTGGGCTCAGGTGATCCTCCTTTCTCAGCCTTCTGAGTAGCTGGGACCCAGGCGAACACCAACATAGTCAGCTAATTTTTTTACTTTTTATAGAGACAAGGTCTTACAATGTTGCCCACGCTGGTCTTGAACTCCTGGCCTAAAGCAATCCTCCCACAGCAGCCTTGCAAAGTGCTGATTACAGGCATGATCCACTGTGCCTTTTTCTTGTTAAAGTAAAAACATAGATCATTGACTCTAAGCGTCTCTTTTTTAATACAAGCATTTAAACCTATAAATTTCCCCTAATCACAGCTTCATCTGTACTCAATAAATTTTGGTATATTTTAGTATTTATTATTCAGTTTAAAATATTTTCTAATTTCTTGTATGATTTCATTTTATCCATGGGCTCTTGAGAAGTATAGTGTTTAATTTCCAAATATTTGGGGCTTTTCTAGTTATCTTTTTGTAATTGATTTCTAATTTAATTGTTGTGATCAGAGAATACATTCTCTAGTATTTCAGTCTTTTGAAATCTATTAAGACTTAATGGCCCAGAATGTGCTCTATCTTGGTGAACATTCATATGCATTCGAAAAGAATGTGTATTTTGCAGTAACTGGGTATAGTGATCTGTAAAAGTCAAGTAGGTAAAGGTGACTGATCATTTCAATCCAGGCTTCTGTATTCTTGGGGATTTTCTAGTTATTTATTATATCAATTCCCAAGAGGGGGGTTAAAATCTCCAACTTTGATTGCAAGTTTGTCTATTTCTCTCTTTAGTTTTCTCAAATTTTGTTTCATGTATTTTGAAATTCTGTTATTAGATACATACATACTTAGTATTGTTACATCTTCCTAATGAACTGATCTTTCATCATTTTAATGTCTCTTAAGGGCAGAAGTCCCTCTCTGTCTATAGTAATGGTTACTGAATTAAAGTCTACTTTGATAGAAACAATCACACCAGTTCTATTATGTTTACTGTTGGTATACTGTATCTTTTCTCATTTATTTTTAATCTATGTCTTTATATTTAGAGTCTCTGGTAGACAGCATATGGCTTTTTTTACCTAGTATGACAATCACTGTCTTTTAATTGGAGAAATTAATTCATTTACATTTAATGTAAATATTGATATGTCCAGGTTTAGTTCTACCATTTGCCATTTGTTTCTAGCTGTTCAGCTAATTTTTTCTATTTTTAGTAGAGATGGGATCTCACTCTTCATCAGGCTGGTCTTGAACTCTTGACCTCAAAGGATCCTCCTGCCTTGGTCTCCCAGAGTGCTAGGGCTATAGGAGTGAGCCTTGCCACTGGCCTTGCCACTTGTTTCTTATTTGTCCCATCTATATTTTGTTGTTGTTCCTTGTTCCTGCATTCTTTTGGATTAATACATTATTTCTTAGTATTCCATTTGCTTCCTCAACTGGACTTTTATTTATATATTTCTGTATTAATTTTTGTGACTATTCTAGAAAAATGAACACTTATCAGTTTCCTATGAATTATCACATCACTTTATGTATAATAAGACCTTACAATAGTATGCTTTCACTCTTATCCTTTGTGCGACTATGTCATATATTTTAATCTACTTACATTATAAAACTCAAAATACAATGTTATGATTTTTGTACAAAGTTTTATTTTTACTATAAATTTTTGGAAATTTAAGAGGGAAAAAAAGGTATTCTATTTACTCATATAGTTACCATTTCTAGTCATTCCTTCCTGTAAATCTAAGTTTCCAACAGGTATCATTTTTCTTCAGTCTGAAAACGTGCCTCAGCATGTTTTATAGTACATACCTGCTAGTGATAATTTTACTTTTATCTGAAAATACCTTTACTTCATCTTTATTTTTAAAGGATATTTTCATTGGATAAAAAATTCTGCATTAACAGCTTTTTTTTTCCTTTGAGCACACTAAAGATGTTTCATCATCTTCTAGTCTTCACTGATTCAGATGAAGAGTCAGTATCATTCATATCATCGTTCTCCTGGAGGAAATGCCATTTTTCTCCTGCTGCTTTCAAGATTTTCCTTAGCTGTCAGCAGTTCAACTATGCCATGACTAAGTGTAGTTTTCTTTGTATTTATCTTTTGGGGTTTGTTGACTTTCCTGGATCGGTATACTGATTTTTTTCACCAAATTTGGAAAACTGTAGACACTATTTCTTCTAAGATTCAACTGCCCCATTTTTTCCCCTCCTCTCTTTCTGAGACATGTTAGATTGCTTATTAAATTATACATGTTAGATTGCTTATTAAATGAAATACATATGATATTGTCCCAGATGAGTCACTAAGGCTCTGGTTCATTTTTTTCATTCTGTTCTTCAGCTGGATATTTCCTATGAATCTGTCTTCAATGTCACTAGCTCTCTCTTCAGCATTTACATCAATTGGATTTTTCATTTCATGTATTATATGGTTATTTTTAGACTAGACTTATTTGGTTCTTTTTTTATAGTTCCCCTTTCTCTCTGGATCTGATTCTATTGACTACTTTTTCTCTTGATGTTGGGTCAAATTTTCCTGTTTCTTCACATATCTAGTAATTTGTGATTATATATCAAACATTGTACATGATACATTAAAGAGACTCTGGGTTCTGTTATCTTTTTTTTTTTTTGGAGACAGAATTTCACTCAGTTACCTGGCCTAGAGTACAGTGGCATCATCATAGCTCACTACAACCTCAAACTCCTGGGCTCAAGCAATTCTCCTACCTCAGCCTCCCGAGTAGCTGGGACTACATGCACATTGCACACCACAATGCCTGGCTAATTTTTCTATTTTTAGTAGAGACAGCATCTCATTCTTGCTCAGGCTAGCCTTGGACTCCTGAGCTCAAGCAATCCTCCCACCTCAGCATCCCAGAGTGTTAGGATTACAGGCATAAAGCACTACATCCAGTCTGTTATCTTACTCTTAAGACTCAATTTTTGTTTAAGCAGGCAGTTAAATGAACACCTTGTGGAAGTTTGGTTTAACACTTTATTAATGTGAATCTGTTTCAGTTTTGCTCTTAAAGAGCAAATTGGATGTGGTTTGCTCCTAAGGTATGTGGCCCTTCTGAGATTTCAATGAAAAGCCTGAGGTGTTTATGAAGCTCCCTTACCTTGTTCTACAAGGTAGTCTCAAACTCCAAACCATCTCCCCTGAGATGGGTAGTAGATGAAATGTCTGCTCAGTTTCTTTAGCCCCCAGCTGATGCTTTCTACTAGGATTCTTGGAGTCCCTTCTATGTGTAATTCAGTGGTCAACTAAGAAGTTGAGAAGAGTTTAAGTACAGATTTGGCCCTCTTTGGCCCTCTCATCTCCAAAATCTTTCCTCTCAATTTCCAGATGCTATGGCAGCCCAAGTTCCTTTTTCTCGCACCTCAACCTAAACAACTGTGGCTTTCTGCTTGAGTTCTAGTCAACCTACACCATGCAGACTGGGGGGAAATTCTCAGGGGGAAAGCTATTTAAACATGGATCTCAACTACCATTGTTCCCTTCTTTTGTGGATTGATCTCCTTCAGTCTTTACCTGCTGTTTGTTATTCACCAGTGCCTTCAATTATTTTTAAAAATATTTTTCCAGAGTTTATAAGGAGTAACTGTGAGAGAGTTAGTCAGGTATAAACTGCTCTTCCATTACTAGAAGCTAAATTTCTTTTATTAAATAAGCATTTTATAATCTTATTTAGTCCAGTTACTTCTAAATTTTCTCCCACTAATAAAAACACTTAAGACCATAAATTTATTTTTTATTACAGGTTTTCCTTTATCATTTTTTTTCCTTAAAGACTCCATTCCATTGTATCCTTTATCATTTTATTTCCTTTGTTATTTTATTATTTCTCATTTTTACTATTTATCTGTATATTGTCTGTATGTGCCACTTGGTACATTCTAAATGCTTAATATTTTTTAAGTTAACAAATGAATTTCTAAATGATCTGCTGTTACTCATTGGATCTCCCTTTTTACTCAATTCTTAAAAGTATAAAAATGCTAGTTTTAAAAAAAAATCTCCACTTAGTTGAAATAGAAAGTAGTTTATTTTTCTACTGTTTTAATGTCTTTTAAAAATAGATAACACATTCACATGGTTTAAAATTCAAAACATACAACAGGTTATACAGTAAAAAGCCTCTCACTTTCGTTTCCCAGGCATCCAATTCTTCTCCCCAGAAGCAACCAATTTCTTGTGTTAGAATATACTTTAAACATACATTTTCCCTATGTACTAGTCAAATTTCCCGAGACAAATACTACCTTTCCATCCTTAATAACTGTGGTAGGCAGATAAGAAACCTACTAAGAGCTTCTCTTTCACTAGTCTTCCTTTTAAAGCTTTCTTAAAAGTAAAAGAATCCACTCAGACTTTCATCTCAGGATCTAGCTAAAATTTTTCTTCCACCTTGTCCTATCACCGAAGTGGATTTTCTTAAATAGCCAGAACTCATTTCACGTTAAAAAAAAAAAAAATCTAGGGATCCCTAAGATATCTGTAAGTTTCTTCTCTATTCCTTAAGTATTTTCTAAGAGCAAATTGCCAAATTGATTTTTGGAAGCAAGTTTTTATTTATTAGTTTTGCTGCTGTTGTCTTGTTTTTAAAGAACAGCCTGAAAAGGACAATTTAACACAAGCTTCTTTCATATATAATGTATTTGTGACCATCTTTGGAGACTGCAATAATGTTTTCATGCCACAAGAGTGCACTAAATGCAGCTTTATTACATATAGCAAAATAAAAATGTCCACTTCTGGTTTATATGTTCTGTTCCTCAAAGATTACCCAACCTTCATTTTTTACTTTTTTTAAATTTCCAACCTTCATTTTTTAAATGTAGCCTGTGATCAATAACCTAATTGATCACCAAAATAAATGTCAATGGCCATGGTAATGTAACATTCTAGTTTATCTTGTAAAATTAGATTTTTAAAATTAGATTTTTAAAATCTTATTCCATATCCACTACTTTATATGCTGTTGACCTATAAACCAGTTTTAAAGAATTGCCATTAAAACTCACAATACAGATTACATGGAATCACATTTTCATAGCCACACAATATATATTTATAAGTGGCATTTTTTCTGAATATAACAACAAATAATAGTAATAACATTTACATCTGTCATTTATCAAGCATCTACTAAGCAGCTGTGATGGATGCTTTATATCACTATCTCCATTTCTCACAACAACTTACAATATGGTTTTCACTCCATTTTATAATTGAGGAAACTGAGTCTCAGAGATGCTAAGTGATTTCTCCAAGGCCACATAAAAACTAAGTGCTAGAACTGGGATTTGAAGGTGGGCCTACATGACTACAAAATCCAACTTCTCTCCGTACACTGTTACAATGAAGAATATCAAAATACTTTCATCTTACCCATAGTCATCTATCAGGTGAGAGCCAAGAACCACCACATCAAGCTCAAAGAATTCAGGTTCCGTTTTAATGCCAAACATGATAGGGGCAAGTTTAGAATAATCTGCACGGTTGCAAGTAGCAACACAAACCCGAAGCTTTCGGTTATTCCCATTCTTCTCCATGACTTGTTTTTTTCCTTTTGAGAGGTTCTTAAAATAGAGTGCCTGAAGTTGTAAAAATAAAAAGTATTGTTTATAATCAGAATAACTCCTAGATACAAAAAATAGAATTTTCAGTTATAAGTCCTTAACCACCATTTATTTATTTTTATTTATTTTTTTTGAGACAGGGCCTTACTCTGTCACCCCAGCTAGAGTACAGTGGTGACATCATAGCTCATTGCAACCTCAAACTCCTGGGATCAAGCGATCCTCCTGCCCCAGCCTCCTAAGTAGCCCACACCACCATACCCGGCTAATTTTCTATTTTTTTGTAGAGCTGGGGTCTCGGCTCTTGCTCAGGCATCTCAAACTCCTGACCTCAAGTGATCCTCCCACATCGGCCTCCTAGAGTGCTAGGATTACAGGTGTGAGTCACCTCGCCTGACCTGAACTCATTTTCTTTTCCAAACTAGTTCCTCCATTATTGTTCTCTAACTCAGTTATGCAACTCCATTCATCCAAATGCCCTGACACTCCTTTTTAGTTCTTCACCCCATACCTCCCAAGCCTTCAATTCCACCTCTTAGCTGCTGCCTTTCTCTGTAGCAGCACTGTGGCCCTACCACACACAAATATGCTATTTATTGCACATCTCCTTTGCCATTCAAGAGATAAGTAATTTTTTTCATTGAAAATTTTAAACTTCTCTGTATCAACAAAAAATTTCACCTCATGGACTCTGATCTCAATGCTCATGTTTCAGGAAGTGTATCAATATTTAGAATTTGTCATTAGGAATCCAAAGAAGCTTGAATAAGGATGCCAATACAGAGTTTCAATAACTCTGAAACTCACTGGAAGTTCCATAGTAGCCCTCTGCTATTGGTTCCTCATCTCTCTTAGACTAAAATTCTGTGACCATGCAAATTGTTAGGCTCACTCTGAATTTACAATCCCCAGTAAAAGGTAATTCCACCCAGTCGAAAGCACTTATAAGATAACGAAATGAGCATTCTGCCAAAAAAGTTGTATTCAGAAGACCTAAGCACTACCTAATCATTAAAGAGACAAAACTATTCTTCCAAAAAGGGATGCCCTAAGTATTCTTGTACATAATCCTTTTTCCACTGATCACATTGACCTGAATAAATTGTTGGTGATATTTAATTTGCTGGGTGAGGCAAAGTAAATCATTCATGGTTGGTCAATTAGTATGTATTTTACAAAGAACATCAAACTTTCTATCTGGCAGTACTAAATGCTTAATATTTACCAAGTTACTAAAAGGTTACTGTATCTAAACTGAGAGCAAGCTAACCATATAAATAAACTGTGAAACATAAAACAATGTTACTTAAGGCTAAAGCTTTTTTTAAAGAAAGAAGTTAAATCTTAAAAAGGAAATAATGGTAAAATGCCCTTTTAAGGGGAGGAATTCAAAAAAAATTTTTAATTTAACTTTTTTGATTAGGTAATATATTCACATGGTTTAAAACTGAAAGGTCACATGAGGCTATATAGCAAAAAATCTTCTCCTCTGTGTTCCCTAGCCACATAGTTGTTTTTTTTTTTTTTTTCTGAAAGCTAACAGTTACTGGTCTCTTATCTATCTTCAGTAGATAAATTACAATTATATAAACAAATACACATATATTGATTTATAAATACATATACTGTAAATTATGCAATAGGTAACATATTCTACAAACTGTTGTTGCATATTTTGCTTTTAAAAATGCTTTTAATTACATTTCTGAAATAAATGGCAAAATGGGAAAGTTTAAAGGCACTGGAAATATCAAATTGAAAAGTGCAAAGTTTTGAAAATTGCTGGCCATCAACTTTTCAAATATATAAAGGGTTATGAGAGCTCTGAAAGCAAAAACACTGTCACAAACATTTATAGAGTATCTACTCTGTGCAGAGGATTGTGAAGAAAACCGAGAAAGCCATGGAGCTGAAAAAGACCTACTTTCTGATTTTTAGGAATTTACAATCTAGTACATGACACTAAACCACATAGCAGATCTCACCCAACTTTCCCAAACAGAAGCACTAGAAACAAAATTAATAAATTTTTTCTCTGCTCAGTATATGTTGTTATTTGTTCGGGATAAGACATCGTGCATTTTTATACTGAGCACTATGGCCAGAGTCTTCATCATCAGTATGGAATGAATAAATGTGACAAAATGGACTTAATCTAAAATAGGGGAATCTAAGTTGCATAAAATGCAATGTAAAACAAACAAAACCAATTTATTTACACCATGGAATCCTAAACAGCAATTAAAACAAATGGATGAGTTTCAAGTTAAGGCTAAGTAAAAAAAAAAAAAAAAAAAAGAATGAATAAATAAAATGGATGTCTATATTTGTCAATATTGATAAATCTCAGAAACACAGCACTGGGGAAAACAGCAAATTCTAAAGAGTGAGCTACCATTTGTACATTTTTTAAAATATGCAAAACATTACCACATATTGTTTATTTATATATAATAAAATTACACACCAACTCAGGAAAATATTATACTTACCTCTGGAGAGGGAGGGAAGGGTAAAGAAAATGGAGATGAAAGGACTTTAGACTTTCTCTATATATAAACATTTATTTTATTTTAATTAATTTATTTTTTTGTGTGTGAGACAGAGTCTCGCTTTGTTGCCCAGGCTAGAGTGAGTGCTGTGGGGTCAGCCTAGCTCACAGCAACCTCAATCTCCTGGGCTCAAGTGATCCTCCTGCCTCAGCCTCCCAAGTAGCTGGGCCTACAGGCATTCGCCACCATGCCCGGCTCATTTTTCTCTCTCTCTCTCTCTATATATATATATATTAGTTGGCCAATTAATTTCTTTCTATTTATAGTAGAGACGGGGTCTCGCTCTGGCTCAGGCTGGTTTCGAACTCCTGACATCGAGCAATCCGCCCGCCTCAGCCTCCCAGAGTGCTAGGATTACAGGCGTGAGCCACCGTGCCTGGCCAAACATTTATTTTTAAAAATCACATCATAAGCAAAGATCAAAAACAAACGCGGCAACATGTTATTATGTATTAAATCTTGGTGATTGATAGAGGGTATCATATTGACTTCTATCCATTTTAGGATATTTGAAATATTTCATTATTAAAAACAAGAAATCTTTTAAACGAACACTGTGAAGTTTGGTGTGTTGTCCATAATTCCTTCAAGCCTAAAGGTCAGAAAGTCAGATGGAGAGATTGGATATTTTCATCCATTTCACTCTTCAATTCCATAATTGTACCCAGAACCACCAAAAGCTAGACAGATAGATGACAGGTGATTGATTAATGATTCATAGAGAAGTATGCCTTCATCTTGAACTCAGTGGTAATCCCAAGAAACCCAATTCCTGAAGACCACTTTCTGCATTCTCTCAACCCAAGATTGTCAGTTATAAATATTGACAACAGGTGAACAACCCTTTCCAGAAAAATAATGTCCCGCTCAACTGTGTAAAAAGAATTCTTTTTGAAGAGAATTTTTTTAAGCTAATCAATTTAAAATAATGAACACTTTGTTCAAGTAGTCACTCCAGAAGAGACAACAGTAACAGTAAACTTTTGCTAAGCACTTCCCAAATGCTAATAGCTTTATGAGCATTTACTCATTTCATCCTCACAGCCCTCTTAATATTCACCTTTTACAGACGGGGGCACAGAGAAAATAATCTTTTGCCCCAAATCACAGTTAAATAGTTAATAATTGACAGAACCCAAACAAACTCAAACCCAGATCTGAATGACTTCAGCACTCAGGACACTGTCCCACACCCTGGTGTCTGTTCATTCCATAAACATCCATGAGAGCTAACCTTCCTGGAAGAGAACCTGATAAATCACCCTTCCTTCAGTGCAGTGAGGACAAGACTCACAGGAATAAGAAAAAAAGGGCTATATAAAGTGGTCTGAAACTCAGAACCCTATTCTCGAGCTGTAATTCAGTTTGGTTTCTCCTTCCAGAGCTCCTATAGTTGGATTAACCAGTTACTTATACCTTATACTGTACCCTACCCCTCCTATCAGAGGAGCAAAGAACACTTTCTCGTGTTCTAACAATTTTACAAGCGTGCTCAGGGTTGGGGAAAAAAAAGAAACGCTTATCAAAGTTCCAAGGAAGCCCAGACTCAGAATGTAAACTTAGAGTAGGGCGGGTACCTTCAAGAACATCTTTTAGCCCGGTCCTTTACACCGGTCTGCCAAGCAGCCCTGCACCCTCTCTCGCACACCTCCGTAACGGGACACTATCTTTCCTTGCTGGTCTGGACAGCACTTCCCGAGGGGATGGAGCCAGGCTAGGCCTCCCTCTGCGCCTCTCGCCCCTGCTCATCCGGGCCACAAGGCAGAGCCAAAGAAGGGCCCTATCACGTAGGCCGCGGGACACAGGGCGAGGACCCGGTCGGGGTGCCGGCTTGGGGGCGCGGTGGGTGGGAAGCTGCCGGAGGCGGAGGAGCCGAGGCCTGGGGGTAGGAGGCTGGAGGAAGAGGCCCTCAGGCAGGATGCTCTCCCCAGTCTCCCGCTGACGCGCGGCTCTCACCAGACGACGGTCTGAGGCACGCTCCCGCGCCGCCGCGGCCGCCGCTCTCGCCGCGTTCCTCCAGCAAGAGCCTGACCGAGCGCCGGAAAGCAGGCGGGGTGCAAGCCCGCCCTTCGGGTTCCGCAACTCAGGTGCGAGGGTCGATGACTCGTCGCTCGACCCTGGCCCCGTTACTCGCTCGCCCCCGCCACACCCACCCGGAGCGCCGAATCGGCGAACGCGCCCTTACGTCCCCTGAGAAGACTCCTGTGATTGGCTGCTCCCCGGACACGACCCGCCCCCTTCCCAACGTTTTTTTAGCAGAGGAGGCGAGTGCGGGACGGCGAAGCGCTTTCGGTTGTCTTGGTGGCGCTTAGGGCCACGGCGGAGCTCTCCTGCCAGCCTCTGTTCCCGCCGCGAAGCGTTCTCCTCCGGCAGCGACGAGCCCCAAGGCCCCCCACGGGGTAGTTGCTTTGGCCCTGCACCCAACGGGGCTTCTCTGAGGCCTTCCTCTCCCTCAGACATTTC